ACTTCCGTAGTGATACTGCCTTGGAAACCCAAGGAGGGGTCGCTATGAGTCGGGGCCGACTCGACGGCACATAACAACAACAACATTGTGTTTTAGGATTTTGGTTCCACGTTTTTCCTCCCACTCTATCCAGGATCTCCAGTTTTGATCCCTTCCCAAGTGGTTGACCTTGGTAGCCGGTCACCATCTAGCTCTTCTGGTGTCCAGGTCCATCATGTCCTAGGCCTGATTGCTTCCAAATGCCCTTGGTTTTTTGTACTCTTCTTCACTTCCGACGGTAGGGGAACATTAGCTGCATCTTAGATGGCCACTTGAAAACTTTTGAGACCCCAGTTGCTACTCGGCAATGTAGGATGAGGAACAAGATTTTTATGTATTTTGTGTGCCAATTGAGTCTGGTGTCCCCCAGTACTATGGTCCTGAGTCAGTAGATCCATTGGATCTCTCTCCTACAGTATCTGGCTGTCTGTGAGGGATTAGTCTATGTCTGTCTTCTGTTGTTTCTGTGAGGACTGGGGGTATTTTATATCACTAGTATCTGTGTAAGATTAGCCTCAGCTGAATCTATCCTTGGTCTGGAGTATAATCCTGTTCACTGACCCCCATCTGATCTTCTCAGATACTTATGTGTTTATCTGTAGCCTGGTGTTTGGTGTTAATGGTAATGCAATATTGTGGATATACTGGTTGATATTGGCATCTGTTATCTATATCTTATGTGCACAATTTGGTGTCCTCCCTTTTCCTAACATTATCATGGTGGTCACAGACTCTTTCTATACCATTTCTCTTCCTACCCACATCAGCATGTGGTCCCCAACTAGCCCGAAATTAATCCCTCTCCTTCCGTCCCCACCCCTGTAACCTACAAAGTGAGTTCCCTTTCTTAATCAAACCCTTCTTTGTCTTTTTACAGTAATGGCTCATACAATATTTGTCCATCTGTGATTGACTTATTTCACTCAGCATAATGTCCTCCTGGCTCATCCACATTGCAGATGATTTGTGTATCCTTCATTGTTCTTTAACGTAGCACCATTGTGTGAATGTACCATAATTTGGTTCTCCATTCATTTGTTGATGGACATTTTGGTGTTTCCCTCTCTTTGCTATAGTGAAATGTGCTGCAATGAACATAGGTGTGCATATGTCTGTTCGTGCTCTGCCTCTCACCTCTTTAGGATATATTCCTAGTAATGAAATTGCTGGATCAAATGGTATTTCTATTTTCAGGTTTTTAAAGAAACGCCATACTATTTGCCACAATGGTTGTACCATTTTACAGTCCTACCAGCTGCACAAGAGTTCCAATCTCTCTGCAACCTCGCCAGCATTTGTTATTTTCTGTCCTGTTGAACTGTTATTTTCTATTTCTTGTATGTTCTATAATAGAGGTATACCTAATTGTCAGCTCTGCCTGAGAAGCTGGCAGTGTTTCACAAAGCTAACATTTAGGCAAAGTCTTGTAGAAATTCGAGTCAGCTGGAAGAGGATGGAGAGCAGAAATGAGGTAGGAGAGGGCATTTCAGAACACAAGAAACAGAGGTGTCTACTGGAATTTTGGGTGGTTTATTTCTTTCTTCTGCTATTTCAATGTTGTTATTTCTAATAACATTTTAAAAAATTCTTTGAGGAAGGAATGGGCTGTGCAGTGTCAACATCTAGTAGATATTAATCTTGTCAGTAAGGGGTTAGTAATCAAAAGTTTCTTGTAGCTCCAACATTAATTCAATGAAGAATTTATTAAGCGTTTGTTCTCCTGGACCACTCACTCACACATACGTCTTTGCTGTCAGAAGGTGAGGCACATGGCATGGGTAGCACAACCTTTTTCCCCATTTTTAGACATGTCCCTGTAATAAATCAACGCAGCTTCTTCCAGTTACAGATGTACTTGATTTTAAAGGAACTATGCCTTTCCATGACAGTTGTCTGAAAGTGAAACATAAGCTTTTAAAAGAGCTTTGATGCCAAATGATAAATGCATCCTTTCAAAGACTGAGTAAAAGTAGGAGAGTACATTTTAATAAAATATTAAAAAAATATATTTAGGTTTTAAAAAGTTTTGTTCTTTCCCCTTTAGACTTAAGCTGGATCTCCAAAATACAAGTGAATCAACCAGCAGTTCTGAGGCGTGCGGAACAAATCCAGGCTCGCAGAACCATAAAAAAGGAGTGGCAAGTAAGGATTCTTCTTGAGCCTTCTTTTCCTGTGTTTTACAATGCATGGTCTCTTCCCTCAAGGCCACAATATTGACTTTTGCTCAAGATGCATCTAAACTTAAAAGATTGTAGCTGTCCATGACTTATTTTAATAACTCATACATGATGATGATGGGTTGGAGAAAGATAACACATTTATCCAAACAAGTTAAAAATCTTATCGCTCTTGAGTGGCAAAACTGCAAATGAATTTGAGACATCTTTATTCATGAGTGAAGTAAATGGCATATTTTCTCAATATATTTATTCATTTCTTAGACATGCCTTCTTTGGCTGTCTCCTATTTTAATTTTAAAACCATGGCATCTAAACCTGATGTGTCCACTGCTAAGACCCTTAGGTATAACGATTGACCTTCTTTGACCATCACGTTTACCTTACTATTAGTTTTCGTAAATCATTTTTCAAAATTCAAAAAATGATGTGTTGAAGAGTACTTACGGTCAGCATATTCTTCAATGTATACCAGCCAAAGACGTGCTGTGCATTGCAAGACTAAAAGGAATTCAGAGTTCATTTCACAAGTGAGGCAAAACATTTGTTATTGAATGAATCCTTTAGGGTGAAATTTCACATTTTGCTCATCCTTGGAAAAATTCTGATTGAAGTGATGAAAGGAAATACTTGAATGAGTTGTGAATATGAATATTTTTTTTAAAATGGATTTGAATTAAACTAAAAAACAAAACAAAATAAGAGAGAGTTGTAGTCTCTTATTTTTATAGTTATCTCATCCATATACCAGGTTTAGAAATAAAATGTAGACTAGAAACCTTCTTGCTCCCAAGTTCTCCCACAGTAGGGTGGGCTCCTTATGGATTGGATGGAGAAGACTTGATCTGCTAGGGGATTGAATTTGGAATAACTTTGGGAGAGAAAGATTTTTGAGACTAGAGTTGGAGTACTCCCACCACTCAAAAAAAACTCATTGCTGTCGAGTTAATCCTGACTCATAGTGACACCCTTTGGATTTTGGAGGTGGTGTCTCTACAGAAGTAGATTACCCAGTCTTCCTTCTGAGGAGTGGCTAGTGGGTTTGAACTGCCAGCCTTCTGGTTAGCAGTCAAATGCCTTAGTCACTGAGCCCCCAGAGCTCCCACTCCCACCACTACTCCCTTGTATATATACATTTTAATCTTGGATAATGTTTACATTATTAATCACTCTTCAGCAATATTTATACCGTATAAATACTATGCCTTAGAACCATGTAACATCAGCATTTAGAAGCCATACTTGTCCTAATTATTCTCTAACTAACTGGGATGGAGATTAATTTTTACTTTATGTTTATTCATTTGATTATTTTTTTTCAAACCAGGCTGCTTGGCTCCTGAAAGCTGTTACCTTTATAGATCTCACTACACTTTCTGGTGATGACACATCTTCCAACATTCAAAGGCTGTGTTATAAAGCCAAGTATCCAATCCGGGAAGATCTCTTAAAAGCTTTAAATATGCATGATAAAGGTAATGTTGTGTATAATCCTCCCAGTGTTTACCTGGTTATAATACTAGTCACTAAATCTAAGAGGATTCAGACAAGATTTAACTGCTCCACTGATATCAGTAATAAAATTCATAAGAGAAACTCTTGCCCTGAGTACTTAGACAAATTGTTCAGATTCTCCTTTGAAACACAGCAGGGAGAGAATCTGATTCTTGTTTTTAGGCCAGTTCTTTTCATCATGAATTAAAGTTACTGGTAGAAAAGTTCTTTATATTTCTTTCCAGTCCTTCATTTTTGGAAATGATCTATCTAGTGATTTGGAAATACTGATTCTGATTCCCTAGCCACATGCGAAGAAACCAGTCTCATTACTTAATAATCACATCTCAGACATAAAGTATTTTCTGTGAGTAAATGAAATACTTTTGAGAATAAAATGCAAATAGGATATATCGAATGCTTGTAGATTAGGTTAGATCTTTTGAAACAAGCTATATTCACTCCCTTAGCAGACATGAAAGAAAGGACTTTTCTAAAGTTGCTGTAAGTTTAGAACCATAACATTTTAGAAATGTAGGAGATCTCCAGAGTCGATCCCCTTATACTCTAAATAAGGAAATAGAGATTTGGAGGGCTGAGTGCTATTTCCAAGGTGATAGGTCTTCTTACTGGTTGGGCTGATTTTAGGAGCCAGATCTTGTTTCCCTAGAAGGATGCTTCTTGGCTCCTTAGTGCTTATCTGTAATGAGTGCAACTTGAGATGTTGAGTTGGTGCTATGCAGGTATTTTATCCCAAATAATTTGTAGATGATTTATAGACCTGAACAGTTCTACAGCTTTAGAAATGTATTTATCATGTTCCTTTTGAGTTGACAATAATAACATCACCTTATTTATGACACTTTAAAGTAAAAACTTTGTATGAGTCTTATGATATTATAGAGGCTGTTGGGTTACATTTTATTTTTTTAATTTGAGAGTTTATTCCTCAAAATTAGAGCTATTCACTCTAGGTTTGGATTTTGTTATTTCTTGCGTAAGAGGGAATGTTTTGTTTTTGTGTTGTTAGATGCCTTTGAGTCATTCTCAATTCAGAGCAACCCCATGTGTCAGAATGGAACTCCCCATAGTGTTTTCTTGTCTGTAATCTTTATGGTCTTTCTTCTGTGGAGCTGCTGAGTAGGTTCAAACTGCCAACCTTTTGTTTAGTAACCAAATGCTTTACAATTTGTACCACCAAGCCACCTTACAAGAAGGAGTAGGATTAGTTAAATGTCATTTTGTTGTGCCACTCCTTACGGTCTTTCTTCTTCAAAATGGTATAGTTCTATTACATTTTTTCTTCATCTACTATCCTGTTTGAATGCTGTAGAAACATAGATTTTGTTATCTATATGAAATAAAATACTTTCATTGAGTCATGACTACCACTTTTACCGTTTAGGAATTTTCAGAAAAATGGTATTATCTGAACTTCAAAAAATCAATGTATCAAAATTGTTTTATTCTATAACTATAAACCAGAAAACTCACTACCATTGAGTAGGTTTTGACTCATAGTGACCCCTGTTGGATTTCTGAGGTGGTAAATTTTTATGGAAGTAGATTGCCCCCCTTCCTACCATGGAGTAGCTGATGGGTTTGAAGCAGTGACCTTCTGGTTAACAGCCAAATACCCACTATACCACCAAAGCTCCTTATTATATAACTATAATGAGAAGATGATCCATGTTGTCAAGAACTGGAAGGGAAAGTAAAAATCTTTTAATTTGTTACAGCATCATGGGGGAATGATTTTTTCCTCTCATTTTAATTTCTGCCAGTGTGTGTTATAAGTAATAATTATATGCATATTGGGTCAGTTGCACTTCATATAACTAGGCTATTATGATTCTTGTTCTTCATAGGCATTACTACAGCTGCTGTTTGTGTTTATCCAGCCCGAGTTGGTGATGCTGTAAAAGCACTGAAGGCTGTAGGCTGCAACATCCCAGTGGCATCAGGTAAAATTGGTTGTGGCTTTTGCTGTTATTCTTTAGCATGTTCCCAGTTCTTCAACTCAGACATCTTGGGGTATTATATACAGTTGTATATCATGATTTTAATTGAATTTATATATTTAGTTTGTTATATTTATTCATTCTTTTAGCATTTATTAATTGCTTAGAAAGTTGAAGACATTCTTTTAAGTCTTAAGAACAGAACAATATCCCTGTCCTTAAGGAAACTCATTTGTTTAGGAGAGATGGTCAGGTTAAAAAAATCATAATGCAGGATGATACATATAATAATAGAAATATGCAGAAAGTACAGTTGTAACTGTGAGCAGGGAATAACTAATTCTGCAGAGGTGACACTCAGGTGGTCAGAGAAGGCTTCATAGAGGAGTTAATACTTGCATTGGGTATTAAAGAAGGAGGAGGAGTTTATAGTATTGATAAGGTGGGAAATGACATTTTGGACAAAAGAAATCATATGTGTGAAGACACAGAAACATGTTCAGGGACTGAAAGTGGTTTGCAGTTGTTGACATCATAAAATAAGATGAAAGGAAAGCTGTGGGAGTTGGGAGATGGGGGCCAGGCCATGTAGGGAATCACATACCTTTTTGTGGGACTTGAGCTTTACTCTGGAGATGGAGAAGACACTGAAAGGTTTTTAGCAGAAGTAGAACATGATGAGCCTCACGTCCACAGTAGTGGACAGATTGGAAAGGGGTGGAAATGGAGTTAGGGAGACTCATGTTTCACCAAAGCCTAGAATGTAAAAGGGAAAGGGCACTTCACTTAAGATAGATTCAGTGGGACTTGGCATGAAGGAGAGGAAAGTATTACAATTTTCAGTTTAGGAAATGTCTATCTGTGTGGATAGATAGATACACAATTAGATTCTACTTCTAACAAGATCTTGCTGCTTTTAAAAAAGCAATCTATAAGGATCACTAATTTATTTTATCAAGGATACATCAAAAGAATCGTAGTATGCAATATTTATACACGGTCTATTTATGAGGATTCCCAAGGTCCCTGGCAGCTATACCATTGTAGACCTTAATTTCTCATCAGTCTCAGTCAACTCAGCTTTTCCTTTATTTGGCTAGGAAATGTGCTTTCCTCTCAGGGAACGGATCCAAGGAGTTTAATATCAAGGAAACACAATAGGTTAACTTTAGATGTGGGAATGGAATTAAAGATATACATGTAAATATTTTTACATAACTTTAGCAAAAAGGTAGTATTTTAATTTTCTGCCTGTTTATTCCTGCCTCTGCCTTCATCAGTTCTATTACTACCCAAGTTTTGTGGACTCTAAAAATGACATGGTAGCATTAGACCTCTGCTAACTTCATGAAGGGGGAGAATCAAGATCAACATCAGCCCAAGGCTGATTTCTGTAAGGTGGAAGTCAAATATATCTCCTCTCTCCAAACTTTTTACCAATTCTGACACCAATTATCCCCCCATCCCCCATGACACTCTGCTTTTCTGCTAGTTTGATAATTTACTGCAATAGTGATACAGATAATGTTCACGATTATGAAGTTTATTAGGGAAGTAACAGGTTACAATTCAGAGTCAGAAATAACTCAGAATCCAGTTCTCTGATCAGGACAGCTTCTTCTTAGCCATGCCCTTGGACTCTTGGCCCCTCAACCCGTTAGTCCCTGTCCTGCTCAGACAGGTGTTACAAAGCTCTTTAGCTCTGCTAGTAAGTGCCCAGAGGCACCTCACTCTACCAGGAAGCCATGACCTGAAGGCACTCAGCCCCCTTGCTCGATGGGTCAGCACACCCACTGTAGCTGCCTTGCTCTGTGGGCTAGGAAGCTCACTGCACTGTCTTGTGTTGATCTCTAGGTTTTGTTGTAACCATTTCTGTGGTGCTTCTTCTTGCTGTTTCTTGCCATTTCCATTGTTATAGCTCTTTCTCATTGTCTGCTGGGTCAAGGAGGTCTTCAGGACAGGGAAACTAGGTCCAAAGGATGTGCCCCATTCCTGGCTCTTTTTCTCGGTGATGGTGAGGTCCTCCCCTTTCTGTTTCTGGGTTGACTCATTTTAAGCCTAGTGAGATGGCAAAATGGACCAATCCCTTCAATTAGGGTTCCAAGCTCTGGTAGCATAGTGCCTAAGGCATTTGACTGCTAACCAGAAGGCTTGCAGTTCAAACCCACCAGCCACTCCTCGGAAGGAAGATGGGGCAATCTACTTCCATAGTGATACTGCCTCGGAAACCCAAGGAGGGGTCGCTATGAGTCGGGTCTGACTCAACAGCACACAACAACAACAACAACAACCCCTAAAAGGGTGGAGTGCACCTTATTTGCATTTAGCAGGCTGTCTAGTCCCCTTGGTAGGCCACAGCATCTTATTTGCATAATCTCACCCAGTCATTTTGTGGATGTTACAAAGGTGATATAAAAGCAATGCTTTGCACCACAGGCCACCCCCATAGACTGTATAGAATCTTTTCCTTCCAGTATTCTTTTCTCTCATTTCCATCTATGGGAGGGGCCTGTATTACAGTTTGGTTAAAATAGTTGAAGACATTCATGAATGAATGAATCAAGAAATACAATGATGGCCAACTTGCTCAAGGGTAGGGTCTAGAATTAACCAGTGCGGCATTAACAGAGCTACTGTTACTATTTTATGAGGGTTATTGCAACAATAACATATTTTCTTAATTGCTGGTTACTTAAGGCATTCTCCTGAACATCTCTGCAGCAACTTAATTTTAGTCTTCCAGAAGATAAAACACTAATATTTGTCACGATGAAATAACTATCCTTTTTTTTTTTTCCACAGTTGCTCTGAAGGACATGTATGGAATTCTTAATGCTTTCATCCCTATTTGCTATTTTTTTTGGTGTAAATTTTTTTGAGGTACTGATCCACTGAAATTTGTTTTTCCTTCCACTCCCTGCTCCTCTTCTTTATTTCTTTTTAAAATCTGTTCTAGTGGCCACTGGCTTTCCGGCTGGACAGACTCATTTAAAAACACGACTGGAAGAGATCAGATTGGCTGTTGAAGATGGTGCTACGGAAATTGATGTAGTAATTAACAGGACCTTGGTACTGACAGGCCAGTGGGAAGGTAGGTCTATATCCTCACCTGAGAGAGATACAGTTCTGCCCTAGAGGATCAAGTGTTTGGGAGCTAGTAGGAGGCAGCATGTTTTTGAGGTCACTGTTCTAGATTACAAGTCACAAGATCAGAAGGTGACCCTAGGAAAAAATTTGGTGGGGATTACTTATTCTGGTGCCCCTCTAAGTCTAGATAGCTGTCTACTTGCTACTTATGTTTTGGATCCCTTTGAGTGCTTAGGTGAATAGCTATTTCCACGTAGTAGATTCATAATTTATTTGCTTAATTTTATTTTACCATGATGCTTTTCATTTAGAATGGAAAAAGTTACCAATATTTTGTACTGCTTTGTTACTCAATATGTAAATCATTCCAGGCAAGTCTTTTTTGCAAAGTTTGAGTGTGATGGAAGAAGGGTCCTGTTTTGTTCATTGTTACGGATTTTGAGGATATAGATTTATTAATAGTCTGCTTAGATTTTGCGAAATCTGTTTTCACTTGTATTTTTTAGCACATAGGGCCTATGAGTATCATTTCTTATTCACCTTTGAGATTCATGATTTACTATCACAACACATTACAATAAGACATTGCCCATTCTAATAACAAGCTATTGTTTCTATAATTAGATGTTAAAGAATCAAATAGGTTTTACCTCTGCCTTAAATATATTATGCATACTAAAAATGAGATTGCTGATAGCTAAAATAAGTACAGCTCTGAGTCATTATAACAAGTAGTTTAATCACAGTATTTTAATGAAATCATAAGACAAAGCCAGGATAATACATTGTCTCTTTAGATCTGTGTATTCCAAATAAAATGCATATTTTATTTTGATTGTAAAGTTATACCTAATTATTTTTTTAAAAATTCAGCCAGTAATAAAGGGAATAGAAATAACCCCTGATCACACTGCAATGAATAATTTTCCAGACTTTTCATATGAATACACATGCATCCCCCCTCCAATTTTTAAATTTTAATACAAATAACAGGATTATATTTAATATATTTATCCTTAACCTGTTTATTGCACTTGCCAGTATCTCATGGATGTCTTTCTATGACTCATTCTGTCCATCTATCTTATCTTCTGAAAAGCTTAATGTCATTGTTTATCAATTATGAAATGGTTTTAGTAGCAAAGATTTAGTCAGTGGCTTGAACACTCAAGGATTTGTTCTCTTATCCACGTGAAGCAGGGGAGACATTTCATGGATATTGTAGCAGCCTCACAGATTTCTTGGAGACTCAGGTAACTTTTATTTCTAGTTCCCAAGTATATGGCTTCTACTTTCATTCACAATGACACTCAATTTTTAAGGTGGCCTCTGGAGTGTTAACTTTTATACTCAACTCTTAGACAACAGGAAGGAATGGCTTGTCACATCTGAAAGTCTTCCACACTACTTCTCCTTAAACCTCAGTGGCCAAAATACAATTACATGTCCATACTTGGCAGCAAGTGAAGCTGGAAAAGGTAATCTTATAGCTTGGAATATTTGCTTTCCAGAAAGATTGTACCAATCATTTTCCTCATACATTCTGATTACCATTGACCCACACCCTCATCAGTACTCATCAATATTTTTATTTCTTGGTGGGTCATAAAATATTGTGGTTTTAATTTGTGTTTCTTTTATTATTGTTGTTCATGAGTGCTTTGGCCAATTGCAATAATTCTTTAAGTATTACAGATGCATTTTAAATAGATATCTCTTGTCCCCATATATTAATTTTGTTTATCTGCTTTTAGTTACAAATTTTAGTTTAAGGCTTAAGACTGAAAAGTAAAAGGGAAAAGAAAATATAATATGTAAAAGAAATCTGGAAATAAAATGTTTGATGGGTAAAAACATATGTGCCCCTTATGTCTTTTACTAAGTAATTGGAGATACAGAAATATAGTTCATATTATAACTTCTCCTCTTGTCTCTAGAATACACCTAATTGGAAAATAAAATACAATAGGAGATAGGTTTTTATGTAATTGGCTATCCTTTAATGAACTAGGAATGGTTGTTTTTAACAACTGATCATTTTCCAATAACATGTATTCATGCAAAACATAATAGCACATCTTTGTCCTAGACCATACTTTTCTATTAACTGTTTTTATGGTGTTAAATAACCTCTTGACCCAAAACAAATTGAAAAGAAACATTGAATACTAGAAATTCAATTCTAAATAGAAACCTGCAGCGACTTAAGGCTTTTTCACTGCATTATTTTGTCTTAATTTTGATTCTTAATTTGATTATATATTTCAGTTTTCAGTGTTAGTTTTAATATTAGCTGTTTACTAGAATAAGGGCCTCAATTACATTTCTTGGAATTTGATGATTGACATTTCTATCAGGTTTCTACATGTTCAAATCCAGGCCTCTCTCCTTTGTGCACTGATAAATGTAGCACGCTTACTAAAATTCAATAGGAAGAACCTTGTTTGTAAAACCTAGCCTTTCCGAGTGCATCCTACCCATATCTGAGGGTCACCAGGGTCCGCAGTTCAGGCTGGAGATGGGAAGGAGGTTCATATTCTTCTCCTCTCATTTTCCTTGGTGATGATTTAAAATCTCTACTCTTCTCAAACTTCTATCTCTTCTACTCACCTTGAGCCTCCTTAAATTTTGACAGATGATTCACCTCCTCAGGTTCCTTATATCAGATTTGCTTCATCCTTTTTCTTCTCTTCTGGTAAGTGTAGGTGTCTCTCCTTCTAAGTCTAGTCTCCTCACCTTGCTGTGGCTTATTTGCAGAGACCTTACTCTATTTATTAGCTACTTTTTTTCCTCTTGTATCCTTAGCCTCTCTCTACATGCCAAAATCCTCACCTCCAGTTAGGTCTCCCTTTCTTCCTTCAGCTAAAAATCTCAAAAGAGTTGTAGTTACTTATTTATCTCCATTGTCTCACCTTTCTTTCATTTCTTAACCCATTTCAATATGTTTTCCATTGCAACCATTATTTGAGTCTGTTTTGAGATACTAATTGAATTCTTATTTCAATGCACCCAGGGGATACCCTTCAGTTGTTTAGTTTGCTTTTTCTGCATAGCAGCATTTGACACAGAGGACCATTTACTCTTTCTGGAGATACTCTCTTGTCATGGCTTTGGTGATCCTACATTCTTTACATTTCCTTCATACTTCTGATTACTCCATTGTCTCATATGCAAACTCCTCCTCTGTCATTACTGAAGTGTTGTGGTCCTCGAGTTCTATCTTAGCGTGACTTCCCCTCAAACAGTGCATACTCTTCTTTGGAAACCTCATCTCCTTGTTGATTTCAATACTACCCCTATGCCGAGGACTGCCAGACCTCCTGAGCTCGAGAACAGGGGTCTACCTGACTTTAGAACTTGTTCAGTTTTCCACTAAAACATGTTGCTTTCCATTGGTCATTTTCACATGAGTAAAACACAGCTGTCTAGTTGGTTCTGACTCATAGTGACCCTATGGGACAGTGTACAACTGCCCCAGTTTCCAAGGCTATAAATCTTTACAGAAGCAGATTGCGACATCTTTCTCCCATGGAGTGGCTGGGGGGCTCAAACCACTAACCGTTCAATTGCAACTGAGAGTTTAACAACTGCATCACATGAATAGAGATTGAAAATAAAGATTCTTACCATTTTAGAGAAAAAACCTTTTTTAAAATAATTATATTTCCCTGACTTTTCTTTTCTTGTGGTGTAGTGCCTAAGGCACTTGACTGCTAACCAGCAGGCTGGCAGTTCAAACCCACCAGCCACTCCTGGGAAGGAAGGTTGGGCAATCTACTTCCATAGTGATACTACCTCGGAAACCCAAGGAGGGGTCGCTATGAGTCGAACTGACTCGACGGCCATGAGTTTGATTTGGTTTTATATGCAGTTTAATTTTTCCTTGACCTTTCAAGGAAATGTGGCAGAGATTGTATTACCCTGGGATACAATGATTCTCTCAGGGGCTGCTGAAATCTTTGCGATGATTTGCTGCTCCATAGCTAACAATCAAGGCTGTTGTGCTTTTTGAATTCATGTGTCTTCTTCTTTTTGAGTTCCTGGATGATGCAGATGGGTAACATGCTCCTTTGCTAACTGAAAGTTTGGATGTTGAGTCTACCCAGAGGCTCCTTGGAAGAAAGGCCTGGTGATCTACTTCAGAATATCAGCTATTGAAAACCCTGTAGATCACAATGGTCTGGGCAGCGTCTTGTGCCGCTGTGCATGGGGTCGTCACGAGTCTGGGGCTGACTTGACTGCAGCTGATAATTCTTTTTGTTTAAACGTTGTTGTTTTGCCTGATACTTTTTTCTTAAGCTTTTACCTATGAGATCATGTTGAGTTCTTTCTGGCACTCTGTTCTTTCCTGCTGGCCCTTCCCGCACACCTTTCCATCTAGTCATGGAAATGTATGCCACCTAAGTTATCACTTAGAACAGGAGTTGTTAACTTATAGAGTGTGGTATGTGTTGTGGTTCTTGGAGTTACCTAGGAAACATTTTCACATTTCTTGCCCCAGCCTCTCTCCTCACAGAACTTGTCGCATTCCCCTGGACATGTGAAATATCAGAACTGAGGTTCAGAAGAGAGTGGACTAGGCTTCTGTCCTGTGAAGGACTCTTCAGATGATTCTGATATCACCCCTTTGCTCTCACCATCCTCTGTGTCGTATTGAGAAGCATTAACTTGGGGCATCTTTATTTTTTTTTTTCCCCCCAAACATACTTAGTTATCTGCTGGCTGATTGTCACTGCCATCAAGTCAGATCCTACTCATAGCGACCCCTCCTTGGGTTTCTGAGGTGGTATCACTGCAGAATTAGATTGCCCAACCTTCCTTCCGAGGAGTGGCTGGTGGGTTTGAACCACTAGCCTTCTGGTTAGCAATCAGATGCTTTAGGCACTACGCCACCAGAACTCCCTCTTAGTTATCTAGTGCTGCTGTAATAGAAAGGGAGTTCTGGTGGCATTGAGCCTGAAGCATTTGACTGCTAACCAGAAGGCTGGCGGTTCAAACCCATCA